GTGAAAAGGCCACAGTATGGTATCATTCTTGATCAGGGACCGTATCCGAAGACGTTCACCAAGTTTTGGTCAGAATGACCTTTTGACCTTTGTATAATAAGTCTTTGTATAGTGAAATCTTTGAATGAATAAGCCAAAATAAAAGACAAGCAGTGCAATTTTTGATATAACATGTAATTAGAAAGTTGTTCAAGTGAGTTACCTGAGTCACATGGCACCAATTGTTTATATGTCGACCTTGTAATAACATTGTAATAGCATTTCAATTGATTTTTAAGTGTTTTTGAGTGCTAAAGCGCCCCCTAAAGGCCAATCTGGACCAACTTGGCATACTCCATTATAGTTTCAATTTGTATAAATACACAAAGTTTGGAGATGATCTGACCAATGACTGATGAGTTATAGCTGAACAGGCTAGCAATGCCATGGCCACAGTAATTAATTGATTGATCCACATGATCGTGAGTAGAAAAGTCAATATCTTTTTGATAATTATTCAGGATCAGTGTCTTCTGAATCTTATGGTACTAATTTGATGAAAATTAGCAAAAAATCCAGAGACTAGTTCGCAAGAATAGGCTTTTTACATTATGCAAATTAGCTCAAAAACTAAGGGGCTGGGGCAAAAATTGAGGGGGGGGTGCACTTGTTCAGCAAGTCCCAAGGAATCAGCAGAACAAAGAATTTTGTCTCTATCTCACTCTGATCAAAAGTTACAGGCAAAAATATGACTAAAGTTGAAAAAGATGAAAAGTTGAAACATAGGACTAAAGTAAAGTATGAGCTCAGTGAAAGTGGGTCAGAATTAGTGAAAAGGCCACAATATGGTATCATTCTTGATCAGGGGCCATATCCAAAGATGTTTACCAAGTTTTGGTCAGATTGACCTTTTGACCTTTGTATAATAAGCCTTCATATAATGAAGTCTTCGAATGATTAAGCCAAATTGTTTATATGTCGACCTTGTAATAACATTGTAATAGCATTTCAATTGATTTTTAAGTGTTTTTGAGTGCTAAAGCGCCCCCTAAAGGCCAATCTGGACCAAGCTTGGCATACTCCGTTATAATCCAAATATGTAAAGGTCCTTAAAGTTTGGACAGGATCTGACCAATGACTGTTGAGTTATAGCTAATCAAGCTAACAATACCATGGTCGCAGTAATTAATTGATTGATCCAAACGACCCTGAGTGGAAAAGTCAAAATGTTTTTGATAATTATTTACCTACACATGCCAAAGAATTTTTCCAGACCAAGTTCAAAAAGATTGGATCAAAATCCAGGGACTGGTTCGAAAAGTAGGCTTTTTAAACAGTTACCGATTACAAAAAAACTATGCACTTTTGTAATAAATATGCATTTGCAAAATTGTTTGGAATAATGTACTACATATGATACACAAGAAGGTTCAAGCAAACTTGTAATAAAATAGTAATAATATGTAATAATATGTTAATTTTTATGAATAGCACCCCCCAGTGGTCAAATTTTTCCAAACTTGATTGGTTGTTAGAAAGTGGCTATATGTAGAGATCATTCAAGTTTCATGATGATTGGTCAATGCTAAGCCTGTCAAAAGCCTGTTAAATGCTGATTGGCTGATGGCGACCATGTGCTTCAATGAATCAAATTGTCCTTATGGATTCACTTATAGTCTGGCCGACAGATGGTACCTGCAAAGTTTCAGCCTGATCGGATGTACAGATGCTAAGAAACAGCCATGTAGCATTAACTCCGCCCCCTAATGACATATGCGCACAAAAATCAGAATCTTCTCCCAAATGTGTCTGTCAAGTTTGAAATTTTTTGGCTGAAGGGTTGTCGAGTTACAGGATTTTTAATTAATTCTGAATTGGCCTGCGCTATACCGCCCCTTGTGGCCGACTGGGCTGATTCCTTGCGCCTGAGTAGCAGGAGGGACTACCTATTGACCAAGTTTGGTGTCTCTAGGACTTACGGTTTGGGCTGTGCGTTCCGTTTCAGGGCAGAAAAGGAATAGGAAGAAAAATCTTGACAATTACAATAGGGTTCAATGCATTGCATGCTTGAACCCTAAAAATAAATATGGCATTTTAATGCACAATTTCTGTTTATTTGCTGAACATATTTGAAAAAATAAAACATAACATAAATGTATAACTTTTGCATAACTTTTGCAGAGGCCACATTTATATTTAATTTTTTTTACCCAGTATGCTGAATTCAGAAAATAAACAGTAAATATGCAGAACCTGAATGTAAATGTAAAATCTACAGAAGTATATTCTTTGTAGAGGATGTTTACTCATTTTTTCTATATATATATATATATATATATATATATATATATATATATATATATACTATATGCATTTCCCCTGCTCTGCCCACCTGGGGCTTGTATCATAAAGCAAATTTCTTACTTAGCCAACTAACTTTAAGCCTTGTTGAGCTCTGCATTTTTGGGTTCACGATGGTGGATCACTTTTTACTGAGCTAAATCACCATGGCAACTTATGCTGCACGGCAGCCTACTCCATGGCAGGTTAAGTTCCACATTTTGGATTATAAACAGTTTCTGAACCAGTCAGGGTGCGATTCTGACCAATCAGGGACAGCTTCTGGTCCTTTTCTGACCTGGCTTGATTAGTCTTTGCCTGAATCTTGAGGAATTTTCAGTAAGTAGGCTGTTGCTGAGTCCGCATTTGTGCAGTCATCACCAAAGGTGACATCAGTGGTGTGTAAAAGGCACTCAAGAGCACCTTGTTGAATGACAAAAAGAGCAATCAAACACCCTACACCCATGTAAATAAGGACCACAGGACCACAAGTTCACCAAATTAGACAGGGCTATAGCTTTTAAACCTGGGTTAACCTAGAAAACTGTTAACCAACATTGTAAAACGAGCTAACCATGACTGCAGTTTTGTGAATCTTAAACATAGTCATGAGATGAGATGCTTCATGAGATAGACCCCTGATCTAACCACTTAGCTAATTGCCAAGTCTTACCTGGGATACATACTGTCTTTATTTATTCATATGCACATCAGATTACATTTTCCACACAGAAATCCAAAATTTTTAGAGAGAAATCAAATAAGAAACTTCTGACACGGTGTCATAAAGCATTATTCTCTGCATTACAGAAATAATGTTTACATGCTGTGTCACACTGTTGTGGTGCACCCAGATGAGGTATACAACTGTACACACATACTCACTCTGACATGCACCATATCTAGCTCGCTTACTGCCATTTCTTTCTCAAGCTTTTGGGTGGTTTGGTTGTGAGCCAAACTGACAGAGCAAGTCTCAGCTGAGATGGCCTCTATTAGTCTCTCTGACACGCGTGCAAAGTACAGTTACATTGGCTGCCTGCTCTGAGCCATGGGCATTGATTCATTGTCAGTTTGTCATGAATGATGATGAGCATAAGAGGTCTCATTAGCTTATTATGTTCATTAAATCTTGTTTAGTTCCTGTGCACTTGATCTCATTGTGTGCTATTAACTCCAACAGGCCATTGTAACAGATCATCTGCACTGTTCTCTCTCTTTCTCTCTCTCTCTCTCTCTCTCTCCCTCTTTCTGTTCTTATTTCAGGTGAACGACAGAGAGAAATCCATCAGTGCCATGATGTGGCTACTGTTAGCAGATGCAGATTGATGTGTTTCCAAGCCACACAATTGTATGTGGTCCAATGCAAAAGTGCATATGATTTGTATATTTTAACTTGGCCTAAGCATCCTATCTCTCTATTCAAGGCTAACATTTCTAATTCGGGTGCTGTATCTAACCCAGCCTTAACCTTTAAGGAACATGGTTACAGGAAATAAACTATAACAGCAGTTAGTGTTATTTTCATAACACACAAAAACAAACCTAGTTAAGGAGCACCTTGTCCCACGATCAGGGGCAACAAGCTCGACCTGTAAAACATATTTTATTTGTCTGAAATATGCTAAATATGCACTTAGAATCCACAAAGAAACAGCTACTTTGTAAAACAAAAAATGTTAATTTTACTTATTAGTTAATGTTTAATGCTATTATGTAAATTAATCTAGCAGCAGCAGCAGTAACAACAAAAACAGCAACATGATAATAATAATAATAATAATAGAAATAAAGCAAAAAACACAATATTTATTTAATAAGTGGTGCTGACTGCAAAGTGCAAATGATTAGTGCACGATACAACAAGGTGTGAGTAACTATGCTAGCTGCAAAATATGCATACAAACTTATCTCCAGTAAAATTACAAAAAACTTGCTAGAATTACTAATTCCAGCCAAACTTAGCAATGCTAATACCACATCATTCTAATGCCAGCCAGCCAGTGCAACTCCAGTGAACACATTGTGTCTTTAGGATGAAAATCAAACTAATTATTATTTTTAGGGCAATATGCTCGAAGAGGCCTTTTGCCCTTTGTTTGGTGGGATTTGATACCCCAAAGATTGAATTGAGATCAATTGACTTAAAAAAAAAATTCAGGGGGAATAAATCACAGACATGCGGTCATCCAGATGAAATTTCAAAATTAGTTGGAGTGTACCGATTCAGCAAATGTGTTAAGATTATTTAATTTGATCAGGAGAGAGAATAAGTGGAAGGGGGGCATTTTACCCTGGGGGATTCTTCCCCATGTTACCCTTACCTAAAGAAAATCTTTTTTCCCTCTTTTTTTCTTTTTAAATAAGAGCTGCATTCAATTTCATGTATTAAAGAAAATCAGGGAGACCAGACAGATCTTCATGTTATCCTACCAAATGTCAACATTTGTTCCCCGCTGAGAGTTCAGTACATGACCACACACAGTGTGACAACACCTACCTATCTGTGAGCCTTTACTTACTTGTTTCTTATTCTTTTTTTATTCTCTCTTTTCAAATTTGCTTATTCTATCCAGTCTCTACTGTGAATGTAATACTTAATGACCAAAATAACTCACTTTTGCTATAATCCTATTGTGTATTTCACAACAAGTATCCAGTCTAATCTCCAAATGCTCCTAGTTAATCATTTGACAACCTGATAACGCCTTCAAACTGCGGAAGCAATTGATAGATGCTAAAGTCCAACCTGACACATGGAGTTACATTTCTGATTTTTCTGCAGCTTTAAGGTAAATACAAGAAAAAGCTAACGTCTTTTATGTTACTCATCTTTTGTTGAAAGCTTTGTATGTGTCAATTCTTTTATGAAATACAAAAGAGACAGTTTATAAAGTTGGTTAAAAGCTTTAGCATTTCACATAATGGCTAGGATAGCTAAGCTAGAGAATAACATTACTTGTTCAGAGACTTTTGTATTGGTGTTGGTCACTATTTAAATTATTGTACATGAAGCATTAACAGCACAGCTGTCTGTTATCTTTGGCTGGGTGTTTTTGTTGATATGTCAAAGAAATTCTCTAAAAAATCTCATTATGTGTATAAGAGACACATGGTGAGTTACTGAACTTTAAAAAGCAGGCTACGTGCTTTTGCTGTCTTCACATAGGCTAGCACATTGCTGTACTACTACATTCTGCTTCTAGAATCTCCTGGGGCACAATAGAAGCCTTTTGGAAAAAAATTAAATTGCCAATAGGCCTAATCAATTCCTGTGGTCTTATTTGACAGTGGTATCATTTTAGGGACTTTAATCTTGAAATGAGCTTCATATTTCTCTGGTAGGGTAATCATTTGCCAGTTCTCATATGTATGTGTGTTTCTTTGTTTGTGAATGTGACCCTTTGGATTGCTTTATTGTCCCTAATGCATTTCTATGAGCTAAGCGTTAGCTGTGCCCCCTGTGTAGTTTGATGTTAAGATAAGTGTGTGTCATTAGTGCCACACTTAGTCGTCCCCAGTCTGGATATCTAGGCCTCCATTTTTAAATTAAAGTCACTTTGCAATCAAAAGACACAGCCCAGTTCGGGAAAAGGCCGCATTGATTAGTGCACAAATTAACGCAAGAAAGAAATCATTCTCCCTCGGTAAGCTAATTTGCTGCTCTGGGTTGGCTCTAATAAGTCCTTCCACCCGACTTCTTTATACATGGACCCACCGCTGGCCCAGTAAATCCTGCAGATTCAATAAGCGTAATTACTATAAAGTCGGTAAACATTTAGATTGAGCGCAATAACTGTGTCATTTACTCCAGTAGCTTGCTTTCGACATAATTCGATAAGATAGAAAAGGAGCCTCCAAATAGCCACTAATCCTTGGATGAGCCATGCATACACATTAGGCCAAGGCATACTGAGACAGAAATAGACATGCATTGATCTACATTTCCTTGAAAATGTCTGATTGCCCGAGCAAAGCCTAATGGCATTTATGTGGCTATCAGTGGTCATTCGTGGAGGCCTAGGTCTAGCTTGTAGAATAACATTCAGAGCTTGGAAGGCCAGCTAAGACACTGCTTGTTGTTTACAGTATTGTTGTAGTTAACACAGGAATCTAAAAGATCTAAGGAATCTTTTCCACTGCTGGGCTGAACGTTTCTGAGCATGGAGGGTAACCGTTCCTGTGGCATTACCACACGGACATCGTTCACAATAAAACAGGGCTCAGCGCATTTTTTCCGACATGGAGGTTTTCCACAGCAAGGAACCAAGTTCCAGTGCCATTTCATTTGTATGTGTGAGTTACTGGTCCGATTTATGTAGTGAAAAGTTTACTCCCACTCCTTAATGCAAGAATAAAGACCCCTCCTCTCTATATACTAGCAGCACTTAAAGCAGTTCAGCTTTAGCCCTCTCCATATTTCAGGAGCTCATTAAAGAAGAAACAAAGGTTTGCGGTAATTAATTACTCTGCTAATTGGGCCCACAGCAGTATTATTGTCTGCGTCAGTGCAGCTTATTTAGTGTACAAATGAGGCTTTTGGCTTGATGCTTTCTCCTACTCGTATGCTTGGCCATTAGAGCAGCGACAGGGCCATCACTCAGCATCTGACACTGGGAATGCGATCCAGCACTGGAAAGCACCCATCATAGACCAGCAAAAGCACACAGTTTATGGAGTGTCTCATTTCGCTGTGTTCCCTAATACATGGGGGGGTGGATGCACATGTATGAGTGAGAATGTAGCCATGTGTGTGTTCTCCATGTACTGTGAGGCCTTTTTTGTATTAAAGTGCATCCAGCAAGGAATCTTTTCTTTCTTTCTTTCTTTCTTTCTTTCTTTCTTTCTTTCTTTCTTTCTTTCTTTCTTTATTAAGGTTTGGATAAAAATTGTGGAAATTAAACAGGACTATTCAATTCTGTTCATTTCAGTGTGTATTTCTGCAGATCTTCATACTGTTTCATACATTGAAAGAATGTGATACATGGAAATTCTCATTAGGACTGTCATAATCATGAAGTTTTAGCTGTTGATTAGTTGCCATATAAATAATTGTGATTATTTATGTTTTCTTTTTGTTTATTGTATATAACTCTTAAAGTATGAGGCTTAATTGCCAAACTGTATGATTATCTACAAACATATAAAAAGATGGTTCTTCAAGCATCATTCAGTAAAGACAGTGGTTCTATATAGAACCATGAACACTCAAAGAACCATTTCCATGCTTAAAAATTTCCTTGCTTCATGAAATCATTCTTCAGATTAATGGAGAATTTGGTTCTATATAAAACTACATTTTCGAAAATGTTGGGACACTGTGCAAAATATAAATAAAAACAGAATGCAATGATGTGCAAATCATTAAAACCTGACATTTAATTGAAAATAGTACAAAGACAGCATATCAAATGTTGAAATTAAGAAATTTCAGAGGATATTTTTTGAAAAATATTTGCCAGCAGCATATTTCAACAAAGGTGGGAGAAGGCCAACAAAAGGCTGGTAAAACTGTGTAATGCTAAGAAAACACTTGCAAGACAACATCTCACAACCAATTAGGTTAATTGGCAATAGGTCAGTAACATGAATGTAATTTACAGAACTACAGCAATTGGTCTCCTTAGGTCCCAAATGCTTACAGAATGTTATTAGAAGAAGACGAGGTGATGCAATACAGTGGTAAACATGCCCCTGTCCCAACCTTTTTGGAAATGTGTTGCTGGCATCAAATTCAAAATGGGCACATATTTTTTTTTATAAAACAATGAAATTTATCAGTTTCAAAATTTGATATGTTGTCTTTGTACTATTTTTTTTTTTAAAAAGACCCAGGATGTGTCTCAGTAAAAATGTGTTTCCTGCTTTCCTTTGCATTTATTTACCTCAATCCAACAAGGTGAATAAATGTGCCCAATTCACATTGTATTTGTTGATAAAAATGTATTGTGAGAGACAACATCTGTGGTAAATAATTACTATCAGGCAATTATGTAATAATTGTGACTTGCCTAGTAGTCGAAATTCAGTCGTCAAAATACAGTGTTATAGTACAGTGACCTTAGTCCAAATTCTTTACATATAGAGTATGCATCATTTTGTTTATTTTTAACAGAATTAAGAATGCTGGATCTTCAGAACGCTTCCAAGGTGATGGAAGAGCAGCAGCTTGAACCTATCACTGACATTAGAATGGTGTCCAAGAAAGAAGCACCTGCACATTACTATGTGGTGAGTGTTTCGTTGCCTCACGTAGGTTTTTTTTTATATTTATTGAATGTTGATGGGTCTTATGTCCCATATGCTTAAACTTTTGCACTAACATGATGACATGGAAACGATCCTGTACAGAATCCCAATGAAAACCATTTCCTTGTTGGTTGCCTTCCCTGGTGGAAAATGCAGGGCCATTACTAATTCATAACGTTTACTTTGATGATGACGACTCTTTCCCTGGCCAGCTCCATGCTGCAGAGTCCTTCAGCCTTTCCTGAGGATACAGTTTAACAGGCCTCTCTGAGGAGGCGTCCCACCGAGCTTGGCACCAGAGCCCTTTGTTTGTTTAACACTCGGCTGGCACAGACCGCTGGGGTGGCTGGCTTTTTGGCACTTCAGCAACGCCAAGCAATCCCACAGCACCAAGAGGGGAAACTAGGACAGCCGTATTCTGCGACCCTTGGGAACATGCCATGCTGCGAGTGTTTGTGTTTGTGTGTGTGTGTGTGTGTGTGTGTGCGTGTGTTTGTGTGTGCGTATGTGTGTGTTTCTGCTGCTATAAAGCCTCCGCACAAGAGGAACGGGGAGGAAGGTGAGAAGGGCTGTTTTGCGAATCGAACAAAGCACCAAGTGAACAGTAGAACACAAAGTGCCCGTGTTAGGCTTACGGGCAGCCTGCTTTCTTCCTTCATCTCTTTCCTTCTCTCCGGCTCTCTTTTCTTTCTTCTCACTCCTTCTCTTCCTGCCCCACCCCGCCAAGCACAACTGTTGTCTCCGGTGGGCCCGTCTGAACGTTGGAACAGTGCTACGACTCTGCCCACTGGCATCCAGGATCTGGCGTGCAGCACATGGCGACAGTAGACTCTCAGAAGCTCTGTTCCGCTTGCGCTTATCCTATATCAGTCGCAGCAGGATGCTGTTGCCTCACTATGTTTGCACAAACAAATACGGTTATTAATTTACGACCTTTTCAGTACTTCAGAGTTGTAATGTGAATTTGAATAAACAATATTTATATATACAGTATATACACATATAAGATGGTTGATTTTAACTTATTATTGACCATGTACTCAAGCTTGGACACGGTAGATGATGTTATAAATGTGCCAGTAGAGAGATACCTGGAAGAGGATTTTTCTTCCTTCAGTTGTTTTGCAGTTTTGCAATACTTCAAACAAGTGAAGATGGGTCATTGAGCCTATGGCATATATATTCTTGCACATGCAAAAGTCTATGATAAACCGGTTTAACAATAGGGACCAGCAGCCATAGATCAGATTGCACTACACACACTCCCGGACACTCAATCCAGTGGAATGTGTCTTGTTATTATTTACTGAGGTTTATTTATTCATAGTACAAGTCAAAGATGTTGCTACAATGCTGTGCACAAAAAGACCACCTCTCATATATTGAATTTCCATTCAAAACACCCATTAATTACAAATTAATCATTGTTTAGGAGATATTTCCGAGGAGGTTAGATATAAGAGAATCCTCTTGCACAGGGAAGAGAAAAGTCAGAGAAAAATAGTTGAAAATACAGTTTCCAGATCAAAGATCTGGAGTTCAAAAAATGAAGAGATATGGAGACAGTTTGACTCCTAACAGACACGTAGACCACCAAAACTGTCATCATCAGATAAACAGTATTTAAAACTGCTGTGTAGCTGTCAAAAAGCTGTTATTAGGAAAAGAAAACAGCCAAAAGAAGAAAATTTGCTAATTAAACGAAGTTGCTGGTGAATAATGGACTGGCTACGCCAGAATCCAGCCCTCAATGACATTAAATGTGTTTGGCATAACTTGAATTGTGACTTGGATGCAACCAACTTGTAAGACTGAACTTTTAAGATGTGGAAAAATATCCCTCCAGATTACTTTGAAAAAAACTCTCCTGCAAGGAATGGAGGCATAGATAGTGCAATAATGTTCAACAGAACTGTGTTGCATGGCAGGACTGTTGTTTAAAGTCAGTTTGAAATCAAAATTGACATTTTTTTTTACCTTGTTAAGTATGTCCCTGGTCATTGTATTGTAAAAGATAAAATTCTTTTTTTCTCTTGAGGCTTATTGCCTTATTAAATTAATGACCCTTCCCTCACTGCAACTAGCACAATAGAAAAGCTCAGTCTGGTGAGCTTTTCAATTTAAAAAGACTGAAAGCTGTTTTTTATTATTTGATTAGTTAGCTTATTGAAATGTTAAACTTACAGAGAGAAACTTTGTCTCCTCTCTACTCTTTCCCTCTCCTCTCTCTCCATATTGCTGTTCCAAAGCACTGTCATTCTTGGTGCATAGCGTTGGCCAACCCGACTGTGGCGTGGCAGGCTGACTCCTCTGGTGCCTGGTTCCTCCCCTGCTTGACTTTGGGTTGCACAGTGCCGGCCCTTTGTTTACGCTGACAGCAGGTGCGGGGCACTGACCTGGAAAGAGTGGCCAGGATGGGTTGTCTTGTAAGGGGAGGAAAAGAGGTGAGGGTGGGGGGTGGGGGGGTGTGGTTGATGTATAGACTTCTCCTGGGAGTATTTACTTCAGCCAAAGACCACTGGGGATGTAGCTCAAGCCTTCTCATGCTGTCTTTCTCTGTCTTTCTCTCTGTCCATCAGTCCATCTGTTGTTCTTTCTGTCTTAATCAGACCGTCTACCTTGAAAGCTTCTCCTAGTGCCTTTCCAAACTCTGCTCAGCTGTCCTTATATCGTCCCTCCAATCTCCATCACTGTCTCTTCAGGGCTGGATAAAGTTTCATTAGGCTTGTTAGAGGCCTAGCTTTCTCAGGTCATGTCTAAACCAATTTCTCATGGGGAGTGCTGGTATTTTTAGTCCTTATGGAGGCTCAGAATCTTTCTCCACTCTTATAGGGCTCTAATGAGATGGAGCGAGAACTTGAGCGTAAGCAAGCGTTAATTAAGCCAAGTATGCAAGGAGCGAGGCAGTGAGGGGGAAAAAAAAAATCACACACAATCCATCCATACATTAACTTTATCCCACTTCATGTTCTTTCCTCCTGTTTTTTTCTCTCTCCTTTTCACTTAGGTTGCACAAACAACAGATGGCTACGACGCTGACCTGTGGAAGGACGGCATATTCAAATCCAAGGTCACACGCTATCTCTGTTTCACCCGCTCCTCCTCCGCTGAAAATGTAAGTGAAAAATGTACATTCAACACACACATACACAGTGCTAGCCTTCTCAAAGAAACTTGCCTTTGGAGTGCTTTAGGCAGCATTTGCTCTGGTAACTTCCGTCCCTCATTAGAGCTCTGATTGGACGTTTGATCACAAGCGCCTCCAAAATGCTTCTCGACTTTTTAAGCTGACTATCTGTACCAAATGCAAATACAGCTCTGAATTTGGGATGAGTAGAATTTAACCACCACCTTGATGTACAATACCCTGTTGGGCCTCCGTAAGAAATTTGTTTATGATCCGCCATGCTCCCTAAGGAATTTAGTCTATGACTATTCATAAATGTTCTCTGCTTTTGTAGTTAGGGATTTTGTTTTCATTCAATTAACCTGGTCCCAGCAGAATATCTGAATACTTTGCTACAATTCATCAAAGAGGATGAACACATCCAAAAATGTTCAGTTTTTGAATAGGAGGGTTTTTTAATGAAAAATGACACATCAAACAGCCATCTCAATATGGCTGCTAAAGTGCCACCTATTTTCATGAAGTGTGAGGACTGCTCTGTATATTGGAGCTGCCCTAGTTTTCCATTCTAGTTTCTGTGAGCTAAACTGCCAACAAACATGTATTATACAGCTGTATAGTTTATCATCACCTCATTTGAAGATGATGCATAATTACTTGATAACTTGATTAGATGATGATTTACTGTTGTTTTATGTACATACCAACATATATACACACATATATACACAAACACACACACACACACACACACACACTACATGGGCAAAAGTATTGGGACACTTACAGGAGCTTTTTATGACATCCCATTCTACCATTCTAAATCCATAGACAATAATATGGAGATGGTCCCCCTTTGATGGTCCCCCTTTCCACTCTTCAAGATTTTGCAGTGTATCTCTTGGAATGTTTGCCCATTCATTCAGAAGATCATTTGTGAGGTCAGATACTGATGTTGGACGAGAGGGCCTGGCTCACAATCTCTGTTCTAGTTCATCCCAAAGGTGTTTGATGGGGTTGAGGTCAGGGCTCTGTGTGGGCTGGTCAAGTTCTTCCACATCAAACTCACCCAACCATGCCTTTATGGACCATGCGGGAACAGAAAATGGCCTTCCCCAAACTGTTCCCACCAAGTTGGAAGCATTCAATTGTCCAAAATGTATTGGTTTGCTGAAGCATTAAGATTTCTCTTCACTGGAACTAAGGGGCCTAGGCCAACCCCTGAAAACCAATCCCATAGCATTATCCCTCCAACACCAAACTTTATAGTTTGCACAGTGCAGTCAGGCAGGTAACTGGCATTCACCAAACCCAGACTCGTCCATCAGACTGCCAGATAGAGAAGCATGATGGCAGTTAATCGTAGAATATCTAGGAGGGAACAAATTTTGCAAACCGACTCATTTCAAGGATGGCATCCTATTACAATTCCACACTCTAATTCAGGAAGCTCTTTAGAACAAACCATTTTTTCACAAATGTCTGTAAAGGCAGATTGCATGGCTAGGTGCTTGATTTTATACACTTATGGCAATGGGACTGAATGAAACACCAGAATTTAATGATTAAAAGGTGTGCCCCAATACAACACAACCCTTAATCATTGTCCAAATACTTTTGCCTAGTTTATACATATGTGTATATACAAATGATATATGTCTGTATGTATCTATATTTTATAAGAAAACCAACAGAACATACTAGTTCTAATTCATTTCACCTTGCTTAAGAACTATGCCTTTGTCATGAAATGATACACTGCACTGTTCACTAACAAAATATGAACAATTACACTTTTTATCTTTTGAAAGTGTGAACTGAGGCTTCAGCTGTCTTGCTTACTATTAATCTTAAAGCTTATATATATATATATATATATATATATATATATATATATATATATATATATATATATATAAAATACTGTTTCTGTGCTCACACACTCACTTTTGTAAATGTCTGCATGTACACAGAATAACACTACCTTATGACACCTAAGCAAACTCTGGTAACATTTTACTTAACCCCCTGCTACATTACATTGACATAACTGTGCCATAATCATGTCATGACAGATGACATAAGCTGGCATTAATCATGTCAGTAAGTTTCCAATAAAATGACAGTGTCATGTTACCATTGCTCATAATTCTTATGACAAAGTTTGATATCATAACAACTGACTAGAGTATGCTTATCAAAATTTATCATGTGACATAACCTGTGATGAACTTAAACATTATGGCCTCTGTCATGACAATTACAAATAATAGTTACATGACACATATTTCTAGACATAATCTGTCATTGCAGCTGATGACAGCATGACAGGCTGTGACATGTTTACGGCATCGTTATGTATGTTATGTAGCAGGGCTCAAGTAAGGTGTTACACAAAGTCTTTATTTTGTTTTAAAAAAAAAACTATCAACACATCAAAATACCATTTTAATTTACATTCTGGTGCATGTATTAGTGAAGTAGTAGTGCTTGGTGACTTCACATGGAAGAGTAAAGAATTTGCTGTTTGCTTCAGCTGCAAATGTTACTAAAAACAAAGGAGAACATCCTTGAGTACCATTAGGTGGTGCTGGTACCAATGTTGAGCAGTTTCCAAAAACCATAAAACTGGACCCTTTAGGACTGAAACAGTTGGCAGTGTAAAAACCACTGTTCCAATACAGTGGAAGAATGCCTTATCTGTTCAAGTTATTTAAGCTACCTTGTGTTCATCTTGTGTCCTTATGCTCATGCTTGTGTTCTCTGATTTCATCTGTTCATGCCAGTAACCGAATCCTGTTATTAAACTATGTGTGAGAAGCCAAAGTAAATCTGCTGCGAGGCTGGTTTGGCGCAGTGTTTATATTTACTGTCACTTTTCACGCTTCTATCACTCTTTTCAGCTGTACTGTCAGTGCTGAGAATACTTCATTATTGTGCGGCCTCTCTTTATGACTGTATCACTGTGGTTCATTATAGTTTTAAGTGTCAGTTTTGAGGCTTCAGTTTACTGATGTCAAGTTAACACATTTCCAAGTCACACCAGTGCATGCAGCTACATACCAACTCAAATATCACAGTTTAGGGCTTTAATATTTACATAACTTCAGAATAACCTTTGTTCTTACTGAACAGAATGTGCCTATAGGTTAATTCGAGATGGCATGATACTACTTGTTCTTTTCCAATACCAATATTAAAACATTGAGTATTGGCAGATACTGATACCAGTATATGTTCTTTAAAAACTAGACTGGACTAGACTACTCAAACACTCTACTACCCTACATTAAAAATTTCATGCTAGATTTGTTACAGGGTTGGATTGGATTCATTCATTTTTCCCGGATATCCCACTCAACATTGTCTGCTGATATTGGCCCAATACCGATATCCATCAATACCAATTTACCATATCTCGTTATAATTAGATGTGTATGTAGAAATGGCCAACATGTAGTAGACTTCATCTGATTTGTCATCTAATTCAATATTTGGCAAAGCTGTTGCACAGAATGTTTTTTGTTATTATTGCAGCCCTGCAGGTCTGTGAAAACATTCAGAAATTGACATTGTTGCTCATTGTGGCTGGCCTGCCCTGCTCAATCTCTCACCGCTTGCCTGTTGATCAAGTTCAATCAGAGCTGTGGTTTTAGTATGTATCACACCAATCCCCTCTCTGCTGCTGCTGCCTAGTGTCTTAAAACGTGTGTCTGCACTGTTTTAAAGTCCCTGACACTAATAAAACATGACAGCGCCATCAACAAAGGCTATTTTGTCTGTCAGTCAAAGTGGCCCCCACTGTAATTGTCTATGACAAAAACAGATTCTGCAAAATTAGCCAGTGAATTATGTGGTGGGAAGTAAACAGTTTGTGATTTATCATACTCTGGCTTGGAGTTAGATGGCCTTTTGTCAGGTCCTGATGGGAAAATTCTCTCTTGCATCTTTAAAGGAACGAAGGAAAGAAAGACAGAAAAAAAACGTGCGCATAGTAATAACATTCATCCATATTCCTGCCCCCAAGTCAGGAATAAAAAACTATGAATAAAAAATGTCTGTACTGGTAATAACTGCCGGGCAACAGCGGCGACGGCATCCAGAGCGTCGGCCTCGTCAACGTCACGCCATGCTGGCCGCACTCTTTCAGGGGCGTCTCTGGATTATTGCAATTTATTACCACGAAAAATGGAAGCATAATGAGCGCGGGCTGGGGAGGCTGAGGGAAAAAGTCATGCTTGAAAATGTCAACTAAACAGCTCCTGATTGTTTTCAACTGCTCCCTGTTCTGAAACGCAGGCAATTTGGCCTGCCACGCACTGGCTTGAGTACTAGTCTGCCATGTTGGGAGATGATGGCTAGCGCATGGGCGCTTGTGTACTTGGAAAGGGGCAGTGATTGCACAATTACTTGCTGTCGGTCAGGTACATGCTTGAGAAAGAGAGTTTTTAGGTGTGCGTCCTTTCAAAAAGCCCAGAAAGCTACAATAAGCTTGCAGTGAAAAGCAGAATATTTATATTCAGAGTGCATTTGAATATATTTTTGAATTTAGCCATGTTATGCACGTCCAGCTTAAAACTAATCATCCTTTTCATCTTGAAATGTAGTTATTTTAGCAAGAGATATTCAAACTTTTTCCCACTAGTCCAAAATAACATTTGAATGGGTAATCAAGGTCTTCTAAATAACAAGAAAATCTCTTTGTAATTTGCCTCTGATGCTTTCAGATGCATGTCATTGTCTGAGCCAATGTCATCAAAGTAGATGTCATGGCAGAAAGGTCTTGGTGGGCCAGATTTGGCCTGAGGGCTAGTTTGGACAGCTCTGGTTTTAATACTCCTTCTCTCCTCCACTGCAGACCCAATTAAGAAATGTTCTGGTGGATATGAAGTTGACTGACCTGAAGGACGCACTGCCAGAGGGCTTCACACCCATCCAAGAAACCATGGACACTCGTAAGCTCCACAGACACCCACACAATCACACGTTTTTCTTAAATACCTCCCACATACATATACACGCACACTTTCTCTCTCTGTAGCAGCCGTTGGTCCTCAGGGAGGTTTCCTCTTAGGACTGAATGTGAGTGTTTCATGGGTGCAGGTTTAGCATAATTTACAAGAGTGGAAAAGAATAAAATAAACATTTTGCCCCAGAGGTAGGAGGAGAGAAGAACGATGAGTCATTGTTTATCTCTGCCGGAGCCTGGCTTTTCTTTATGACGCGCTTATTTATTTATGTATTTATTTGGAAAGGGCGCGAGTGGATGGTGGTTATCTAATATTAATGAAATGCATTCCCCCGATGCTTTAGTGCTTTTTGAGTGCTATGTATTTCCCCTCTCCTCTTCCCTCCTCTCCTCTCCTCTCGTTGTGCCTTTGAGAATGCAATATTATTTTGCCATTGAGAGTGAGGACAGCATGTTTATTATTTTCATTATTATTGCATTTATATAGCACTCGCCCCGTGCTGCTTTAAAATGAATGGCATGGGCTCAAAAGTAATATGAGCAGGGCTGACTTCAGATTCCAGTGGAATGAATAAAAAGATGAATAAAAAGTCTTGTTGGGCTATGCTTTAATGCAATGCTTTTATTGTGTGAAACCATGTTTAATGGATATATCAGCCACTATTAAATTGCCATTTTACCGTCAATCAAACTGCTGGTTCTTTTCTGCTGGCACACCCCGGTGATGAAGATGCCCAGCACTCTCAGCAAATGCAGTTTTATAGGTTTTATGTAATTATGATCCTCGTTGTTTATTGATAATGTGTCAAGTACCCTGCATATATTGTATTTATTTTGTGTTCAAATATTAATGTTTTATCCTCATTTAGTGTGACCCATTGAATAAATGGTTTGGAAGCAGTCCTTTTTAAAAGCATTTTGTTCCCTTTTCTGAATCTTTTGCAAGATTTACCAGAGCTCTTCCTTTTTCTGTGCAGTAGAATAATGTAATTACATAAATCATATGTAGGTATCATATGTCTTGCCCTTAATTAAATAAACATGCAGCAATAGAAAAATATACATAACACAAACATACACATGTTTGTGTGTGGCAAGGCTGTGTTTTAATACTACACTGAATACTAATACAAAGTGCCATATAATAATACTATAATCTGCATAATGAGCTACATCCATGGTGTAGATTCAATCTCTCTCTCTCTTTCTCTGTCTCTCTCTCTCAGATGAGTTAGCATTGAGGAGGAAGAGGCTGTATGTGAAGCTGATCCCGAGGCACAGTACTGACACGGCCGTATGTGATGTGCTCATTCAGAGCAGGTCAAAACAGAGCCCTGCTAACTACACATTTATAGGGTGAGCTCAGGATTGGATTTTATGCCTCAGCTTTTACTGCACGCAGCTCTCATATCTAGTTTTAATGGCTTTGGAATATAATCAAGAAACCATACTTAGCTTTTTACACTCATATACCATATGATTTTTTATGTGGTTTTGAAACACTTCAACATTATATAAAACACTAGTGGTGCTTAATAATAAATATGTTTCACCTATCACCTTAGGGGGCAAGAAATTGGCCATATCAGATGTATTGAATTTAAGAGTAAATGCATTTGTTGAATGTATATAGTGATGGGCTAGTGTTCGGTTTCTCCACAGAGAGCTAAATGGAATGGCGATTTGGTATCTGATGGGAAGGATTCCTCAGGCACATGATGCACCCCATACCACACTCTCAGTTCACCAGACAATTCCAGACTCAGGGTAGGACAAATTCTATAAAGATACACTGCAGACTGTGCATTAACCACAAACAGAAGTTTCTTTATAAAGTTAAACCAATATACAGAGTTACTGTATAATGCTTGTGTAATGCATGTTTCTATAGGTTGTCCTATGGCAAAAAAGGAGAATACAGTGAAAACTCAGAGACCACCCTCAATTCATTGAATTTCCAGTCAAAACACCCATTAAGTTCAAGTTGTTCATTTTTCAGGAGATATTTGTGATGTGTGGGATAGTCCACTTGCATAAAGAAGGGGGAAGTTTACAAACCTAAAGTTAAAAAGAGATAAAAATTGGACTCCTAACTAAAGAGAAAAGAGAACAACCATGTGAGACCAGGTAGACCAAAACTGTCATCAGTACTTAAAGCCTTATCTTTGAGAGACAGGAGGAAAGTCAAGTTCCACTCCTGCTTCAAATCTGAAAAAATCCATTGATGTTTTTGTCCATCCTTACACTGTGATATCTGTAGGTTTAAAAGGATGTGTAACTGTTAAGAAGCCGCTACTGAGAAAATGACATTTACAGATCAAACAAATAAGCTACTGGTTTTCTCAGAACAATGGATTGGCCACCCCAGAACCTAGGCCTCAACATCATTGAATTTGTTTGGGATTACTTCGATTGTAAGAAGCAGAAAATGCAGACTGAACTTCTAAGACTGAAATTTTGAGGTGTGGAAAATACCCTTACAAAATTCTTTGGAAAACTAAAAGCAAGTTTGGCAGAATAGAAGCTATAATAAAGCAAAGTATGGATACAACAAATACTGGAAAAATGGTATTATACTTAGTTTAGTGAAGGCCTCTGTGCAATGTTCTGTTAAATATATTTTTGTGCTTTTGTTCCTGACACAGGAAAATCAATAACTTGTATGTAGTAGTTGTTTGGGCTGGAAATTAAATAAATGAAGTGTAGAGATCAATGAATCCCATCAAGAGTCCTGCTATCTGATGAAGAGTCAAATAAGAGTTCAAACATTGAAGTGTTTTTTAAAAATAAAAACTTATTGAGAAACAAATCTTATAGTATAAAAATAAACAAAGAAACTGGTTCACAAAGCTGTTTATTGAATTTCCTTGGTGAATATGCAGAGTTATTTCATCCCTTTTTAATGAGTTCATTTTAGGTATAATTAAGCATGTCACCACTAGATATGAGTGAATAATTTTAAAAAACAGACAGACAGATAATGAGATGGTGCCATTCCTCTGAGTGCTTTTAAAAACAGTACAGTCATTTTAAAATCTCTCCAAAATCAGACAGGTAGGCTAAATAATAAAGGCAGAAATAGTGTATTTGGCTAGAGACAAACATACTGCTCAATTCTTTCCACTATGTCTTTCAACATACACACATAAACACACTGCGTGCCTGAAGGGAAGACTGAGAGAATGTGACTTTGTACTCTATCCAAACTCAACAATTCAATAATTTATGAGCAGGAAGTGTCTGGGATTTCCTGTGTAAACAGTAAATAAACAACCAAGGCTGCACAGGATCTGTGTTTGCAGCGGAGGGGTCGGTAAGGGTGTTCTGGAGACTAACTGCAGCATGCCAGACACCCACGGAATGTTTTGGGCTACAACCCACTGCAACTGAAATGAAACACAGACAGGATTGAAGAAATCAACTTGAACATTATCAATGTTGTTTGCTGTCTGTAATTGTTACATAATTTAGCCCTGTAATTGCATATTTCGGTGTATGTTCACAGTATCTTTTGTTAAATTAGCTGGAATTGGTGCACCCTAGTATGAATAGTGAAAGAAATGGAGAGTGGTCTGACTTCAGGTTTTATTTCAATGACTGGTCTTTGAACTTGATACTGTACAAGAGAGCAGACCTCCAGAATTACACCATGGCTTTACAGTTCAAATAAAAGCCTTTGTAGGGGCCGTTTCATGAACGGCTAGCGAATGTTGGAGTGTTTGATGTGTCTGAGCCATGCTGGAGAGCCTCACACTTTCACAACCTGCCTTCCCATTCTGTTAATCCAGCTCTCTTTTGAAGCCTCGTTTCAAGCATGAGAGATGGAGTGGTAAGAATAAATTGCACCTCAGAGTGAGGACCCCTGGCCCTCCTCCGATTCCTGCTGTGATCACAAGCTGTGGGTCTTTTATTAATATTAAAATTCATGCTTCTGCATGAGTCGCTCAGTTAGGTGTTGATGTTTGTTCAATATCTTCAATCTGGGAGAGACATTTAAGAGATTTTAGAAGTTTGAGGTAACAGTAATGATTTAAATATATGTTTGGTTTTTAATTATTTCATTGCATGTTGAAGGTGGATAGGCTACTATATATGCAAAAATTTGAACATCCCTTTCCGATTACATATATTGCTAACACATCCTGTACATACCTGAACACACTTAAATATGGTGTTTTCTGTTCATTTTAGAGCACAACCTGTTTATGTGCTGAATTTTACATATTAGAATGGAAAAAAGCAATAAAATGTGGCCTGTGCAAAAGTCATAGCGCATTTAGAACTTTTTTATTTTCTAATATGTTAAATATTCAAAAATCATAATTATTTTCATGCATCTCTCCACTGAAACTTTGTTGTCCAGAAGAATGCAGTTTATATAACATACATTTGAGGAGAAAGTGGTGGTGGAAGGGGGAAAAAAGCTTCTGGACAAGCTCTGTTTTCATCAAGGATTAGTTGTGAATTTTTAGTGAAAAGCAACTTAGTTTAACTTCAGTTTATCACAGGGAATGCTCCCCCTTCTGTTTAGTACTCCTGGCTATCTTCAGTATTTTTATAGCTTTTTGTAGATACCCTTAAATCTAAGTGCCTTTTACAGTTAGAGGAAAGATGTTTTAAACATAGTCAATAAGGAATAAATGTTTAATGACCGCTGTAATTTTGAATGCTGGTGGTTCTACACATAAGCCCCTCGTTGCCCCAGGCAACTAGGAGACCATTCAAAGTGTGTTCTGACTACAAGTGCAAAGTCATTAAAATCTCAGTGAAATCTCAAATATGCTGCAAGGACAACTGCTCCACCAAAACATTTTCAAAATGCATATCCCCATCCTTGCTTGAGATGAAAAAGCGTGTGCATAAATTAACTGAATGCCCACAGAATGTATCAGAAGTTGTAAATAAATTATTTTTACCATGATTAATCCTTTCTCATATATTATAGGTTTGAAGTACCTTTGGATGTAGATGATACAGTTGTTACTTTGTTGCAATAGACTTCTTGATCAAGGTCTCCTCATCTATTATCTGTTTCAAAGTAGAGCATACATGCCGTAAAATGGATTGCTTCAGCTTGGTGTCAGCTTTGTGTTACATGCCGTTATCAGACAAGCTTCTGACTCATAGATTTGGGAGAGGTTATATAGAGTGAGTTTTTTTTAAGTCTACTTCAGAGCCTCTTCTCTCCACTCAAGCTGCAGTTTGTCCTCCTGATAAAACTGTCATCCCTGCCCCAATATCTGACCTCCAGACCGACAGCTAGCATAAATTGGCCTTGCGCTAATATTTCGGTTTCATTTTTCGCCTAAAGAATCAAGGTTTTTGACATTTCTCTCACAATGATGGGCCTCATATAAGGGAGAGAAGCTTTTTAAATCAAAAGGCAGAAGAATATAAATGCAGAGGCCAAGCATCTTTCCTCTTGCGAGCTTGTTTTGATTTTTATGATTTCTCCTTTCAGGACAATGATTCACCCCATGGATGTGTCATGTGGAGGTCAATGAGTATAGACTGTAAAACAGCCTCAGTGCCTGTTCTGCCTTGACTGACAAACTTCTTTTTTTTTATTTTAGTTTAAGTTCTTGAAACAAAAGCATTCTTCGAACTTTCAACAGTTTACATTTGCTACATGCTCAGTTGTAATGTAAGCACTATTTCAGGCCATTTTTTTTCTTTTCAGGCTCAAAAACAAACTGTCTTAGGGTGGACTGATGCCTATTCTTTTATGGATATGACAGTGTTATGGTGAAACATTGCTCTTTAATGTAAAGGTTTTAGGTTTTGTGCATCTGAAAGTGTTGAGTACCATGTACGTTGTCATGATAAGAGGTGAAGAATGTGTGTCATGGATTCTTCTACGTGTTTGATGGAGCTGGCTGCATCTCTCCTGCAAAGCATCAAGTCTCTTAACAACAGCCAAGATCCCAGTCCTCTGGGAGAGCATGCGTTGTACAGTATGTGCATTGTTTTGACAGCATCTTCCAGCATCTAGGTTTTCAGACATCCCCCCTTCTTTTTATTTCTGATGCTTTTTATTCTGGAAAAACATAAAAAGTTGCAAATTTTCCATCTGCATCAAGCAAATGCAAACTGAGCGGTGCCACCTATGATAGAATTATCAGGAAAGATCTGTTGTTGTTTAGGGCTTCCACTCTCCCAGCTCCTCCAGCCGCACTCACCGTGATTCCACTCTTTCCGTACCTGACACGCAACTTAAAGGAGCATAATGACAAGTGTGGAAGGTGCCACTGCTGAAAGGAGCTGTCTACACACTGTGGGCTGGGAGGGCCGCCAGCGCCGAGCCGAGCGTTGAGGTGTTGTCATGGAGGAGCTCGGATGAGTGTCAAAACACCAGCCTCCACATTCCTCCATCTCAGTCCATGCGCTTCTCTGGCGATATTATTTTTATCCTTGTCTTGCTTCTCCAAAGGCTTCCGCCTATCTGTCCAAGCCATGACAGATGTTCTACACGGACCCATACTCCTGCCTCTCCGCTGTTGCCTGTTTCAGTTGCTCATCAGCCACCCATGGTGTGATGAGCATGTAGGAGGGTGCCTTGGATATTGTGATTTAGACAATTAATTGAACTTAATTTACCTGGTGTTTGTGGATATTTTAGAAAAATGTACAGTGAATTATGTGGGGGAGGCTAGAATTATTTGGTTTCCATTTTAAAAGACATACTGGGCAGGCGTGTTAAATGTAAAAAAAAGTTGTGGTCCCCATTAGATTTTTACCATAGATTATAGTTGTTTAAGCAGTTTACCATGTACTATACATTACACGCAGAACCATAATTGTAGAAAACTTGACTGCAGTCCAGCTGAAGACTCTCTCCAGTCAGTGGATTGTTCTTTCTGCACATCATTTGAGACTACCTGTGCTAGGTCTGATGTAACTGTCTGTTCGTCTGAAGACTTGCTCCTAATTTGTCTTCTTGCCTCACATCCTGAACTTCTCTGGCTGCCCTTTAGCTTCATACCTCCCAGCTAATCTCCTCTTTTCCTCCAGTCAGCCATCACCGTACTTTAAGCTCACACCTTGAGACCTTCATACTGTTACTACGATTCCCCTTTTTCTAAGCTCTTGTACTGCTTTTCCAAGGTTTTATCTTGGGCTGTGGTTAACCCTGACTTGACCTCATACTTACTTTTCCAGGTCTGTGATGAGGTATCTCTTTTGCACTGATTATTTACCTTTAACTAGCTCATCTTCAACGTGCCTGATTATTTAAAGGAACTCAAACAGAAAACAAACTGAGTATGTACTATATAGCCTTCACTTGAACCCCTTGCTCTTCAGGCTTGTTATTCTGCTGTTTATCTATTATGAAACTGAAATAATATAAAAGCTAAGTAGATATGAAAATTAAGAATAGAAGCCTGGAACCATCCATAGTTGCTTGGAGTTAAGTGAGTTAAATCTCCCCACAAACACATTGTAAGTATGACTTTTCCGATTGTTTACTTATGTTCAATGTGCTCAAGTTAAATGGTGCATTGTTTTAATCAATCAGGCGATGCCCTAGGTTTTGCAATGATCCTATGCAAAACAACAGCATAATTAGATATTCAAATTAGGGATATGTGTCAATATGGCTTTTTCTGGCTTGAATGATGATTAATTGTATACAAAACTCCAGTGGCCAACATAATCTGAGGATAAGGGCTGTTGGTGATTAAGTGGCAATACACTTGCCATGTTTTTTGTTTTACAAATTAGACACGTAATTGATTTGCCATATGCTACCCAAGCCAGTGTAGTCTGAAAACTGGTAGAATTTGCATTCAGTGGGTTTGCATTCTTTGACAAGTTCGAAGATGCCCCACTTCAGCTATACCTTGTGCCAAGAGACCGCTAGGAGTTTTTGTTAAAAAGGAGTCGTTCAGAACTCCTTCAGAGGAACCGTATTCATTTATTCTCTGATGGTAAGTTCTCTAAAGACCACATCTCCGTATCTCCATTTTGACCTTATCAAATTTTAACGTCTTATAGAGGCCTTTCACCGAATATAGCTCATTTCCATTTTGTGGATCACTCTGGATCATTCTCCATTGTTTCTTGCTGCTTCACTGGCCGTGGTGGTCGAGGCCCGTTTCACAGTGAGTGAAAAACCATCTACTTTCAGTTTATCGCTGTTTGTGAAATGTCTCGACGCAAGAAGAGTCATGTCCCCTTGCTTTTTTCCCCTCTGCATCCGAGTCAACCTTTGCAAATGAAGGGAAGTCTTCATTAAATGTGGCAATCGGTTCCACAAGATTGATGTCAACCTTTTAAAAATTCACCATTGGGCCGGATTGAACACGGGCAAATGCTGATGCAGATGAACAGGGGGAAAGTCAGCCCCATCGAGGGAAATAAATCTGAGTTGCAGGCTTCAGTTCATAAATACCACAACCTGTCAAGGAGCATGTTTTATTGCCCCTGATAGAAATTACTGCATTTATTTATCTCATCACAAGTGATAGAAATGCAGAGTAGCCACAATGGACTATTGAATGTTTTCAGAAAGATTAGAATTGAACTCCACAGTTGGTCCAAAGTCCCTGAAGGATCCCTTGGGGGCTGGCTGTGTTTCTTACTTTCAGACTTATACGGTTGGGATTCAACCTTTCTAGAATCTGTTTGTTTTTAGGGTATTCACAATTCTTTCTTGAATTTCCTAAATCTGGTCCTCTCTCAGTCTACACTTCATCACTTTCTTCGTAACATACTTTGGATTTTCCCATCACCTAAACAATGTCTTACTCTCTTTCATGGTGTCACTTTGCTTTTAATCTCTCCCTAAATATGACTCGACTTGACTTCAGTGCATCCGATGTGTTGTGTGACCTGTTGGAGATGCTCGTTTGGTCTTCAAAGCATGCTTAAAGTGGAATTATGCAGCTCTCCTGATGCTGGAAGGTTCAGCAGCGCACCGGTGGATTTATTGATCCCTGTGAGTGAGTCAGAGAGTGTAATTCACTGGTGCTTGATTGATGAGGAGAGTGTAGCACGCTCAGACTGCCCTGGAAGTGCATCACAGGCTATTTTTATGTTACAGCAAAAGTTTAATAAGGTAAAAAGACTTCACATTATGGCCAAGATGGGAGCTTTTATTTATTTTATACATTACTTTTAAAATATAACAACACTTTTTGTGTTGTGATATTTGCTTTATTTGTAAATGAAGTAAACTGAAGCATATTTTGAAATGCAGTGCATTATCTCAACTCAGGTCACAGGAAATTATGCCTTGGAAATGTAGCTTGGAATATCCCATGCATTGTTATAGTGTCCCCTTTCACAAGGCTACTTGATGATGCTCCAGTGAGACAGGGCAAGCCGAGACGACCAGATGATCTGTCCATGCAGTGTGACATCAGTCTGGCTACAGCCAACTTCTCAAGGTTGATGAGGTGGTAATGTGTGTGTGTGAGTGTGTGTGTGTGTGTGTGTGTGTGTGTGTGTGTGGAGAGTGAAGGAGGTTTGAGGCTTTTTCTGGCCTGCTGCTGGAGAAGTAAGTGTGAATGTGTGGCACCATGCTGGGCTCAGAAACTGCTCTTATTATCATCGACTCCATGACAACCTCTCCCAGGCACTTGGGAGCAGCCCGTGGGAGGGAGAGGGGGTTAATGATCAGATGAAGTCCTTGGCATGCATCCGGATGGAGACTCAATATTACCAAAACGCAAAGCCACTGTTGTGTTTTCTTCATCCCATTTGGTACTCAAGGCTGGCCTGTTCTCTAGTCTTTATTTTGTTTAATGCTGTTTATTTGTTGATTAAAATGGACCTTTTCAATGAATCAGCAGTGATCATTTGGTACGATGATGATGCATTTATAATTCTCTTATAAGAGCCTGATGCGCACATCCATTTACATGCATTTTTTTGATACATAATTTTTTATATATATTTTAATAAGGTTTATCCTAGTATTTTAGATTTTTTGAAAAACTGCAAACCTGGTTTGTTGTTCTTCTTTTTTAAAACTTTTTTAAACTTTCAAAATAATTAGTAGATTGATGACTACTGTGACAGGCCACATTCTTCTAGCAATTAAGTATTTTTAAATCTTGGTAACACTTTATATGAAGGGACTTCATAAAACATACATAAGCATTGAGTACTGTATTGTAAAAAGCAAAATTTTATCAGCAGCTTTTGTCAGTATTTGCAACATGACATTAAGGCCGTATACCGCCATATACCATTTCTGCAAACATGCCCTCAAACTGAAATGATGAATGAAAAATATTTATGAAAATTATGACTTTACTTTGAGGGCATCTAAGTTCTTTCATTTGGTGTTTTTAGTTAGGCCTTTGCTTTGTAAGTTGCATTTCTTATAACAGTTTTTAATGGAATAACAGTCTATTACTATAGTTTAAATGCTCATGTGTGTCGACACAGTGTCATTTACTCATAAAAAACATTGGATGTCATCTTGCAAATACCAGCATAAGCTGTTCATAAATACTTATCATTGCTTTTTTAATAAGTTATGTAATGCTTATACATGTGCCATGAAGTTCATATGTAGGTAGCCTTCAGGTAAGGTGTCTTTGAAAGGCTATGCATGGTTTGTTATTCTTCAGTCTATTCTTATTGTTTGTCCTTTTTTTAAAAAAAAAAAACTTTGATTATTTAATTTTTCATCAGAACAAATGGTAGAAAAGTAACAGCAATACTCACTCATGGATTTTGTCTGAATTTCGAAAAGTTGACTACAATGTGAACTAATGCAATTTTCAGTGCATGCCTAAACCCATCACCTCTGTCCTCATCACTGTACATCTTTTGTCTGTCTCTCTCTCTTTGTCCTCCAGTCACATACCAGTGTCGTCCAGCTTCCCAAAGAGGAGCACGGTCAGGCCTGACGTTGAGCACCAGAACTCCTGCAGCACGTCAGGTGAGTTTGTCCATTTATACGGTGAAGCATGAAAGTACTACAATCAGACTTCTGCTGTAATGGGTGCATAACAATCTGACATACAGCGTTTCTACTTATGTAGAGAATGCACAAGAATGAGCAAATGGCATGATCACTTGAAAGAGAGAGCAGACTCCCCACAGAAAGCTCTAAATACCCACCTGAGAGCATTTACCAGCTGTGTGTAATTACTCATCACACGTCTTTTATGCATTCATATGATGAAATATTCAACACTGACACACAAGGTAAGAGAGATGCACATGAAGATCCTGCTGACCGCTGGCTGTTTGGCATAGGTGTTTTCGGTGTTCTGCTGCATTGAGTAAGGATCTTTTGAGCACATGCAGACGAGGCAGGTTTGTGTCTTCTCTGGCTGGAGAGAGACACCATGTGGTGAAGATGATCTAGTTTGCTCCGGTGAGCCAAGAGCCTAACAGTACTGACAGACGCTGCCTTATTCCTAGAATTAGCAACATGAAAGCTGTGTTAATTCACAACTTGATTTCTCACATATATAAACATTATCTGTTACATTTGTTACAAATGCCTTTTGGAAATGTTTTGATATATTGTATGCATCCTACATCTTCACATTGCCTATATTTTTTGGTATTTTCACGTTAGGGTGGGCAATATAACAATATGTTATTAAGTAAGACGGTTTTGTAACATAATGCTTTTTTGAGTGTCACAGGTATCATTAGTTCTTCTAAGAACAATGAACTACTGGATGCATTGAAAAAAAAAGAAAGTTATAGCCTGTAAGCAACATCCACTGTACCACTGTATTGTAACTGCATAAAATAGTAACAAATAGCTGAATGGATGTCAGCAGATTCTGCCATTATCATATTTTATTTTTACTGTTTTTGCAAATGTTGCAAAAAATGTATTATACTTAGTTGTTCTTGGTCTTTCTGCAAGCAGAATGGCTGATAACATTCCTGCAATTCCGTCTCTGTGGCAGTGGCAGTTGATTGACAGGCGGACACATGCCCTGCCACCAATCATCTCTCTATCAAAAAGTGCGTGCTATTGATCAACCTTTAACAGTGCTTCTTTAATGTGTCACAAATGTTTTAGTACTATCTCCACTGAGCTGATGTATGAATAGAGTCTACTAAGAGAAATTTTCTTTTCTTTGAAGGAAACTCTTAATGATTCGTGTTCAAATTTTCAGAGGAGAGTCTCCCCCTGTCTCTAGAGTGGCTTATTTATGTCTCTTCATTAACTGGGTGACGACCTGAAGACCAAGACCAAGGTTTGGAGCAGACACCTGGATTTGCCTTAATTGTGAGGGACTGTGTGTGTGTGTGTGTGTGTGTGTGTGTGTGTATGTGTGTGTGTGACAGCTGGCCAGGTTCAGGCTGGTCTAAAACCATGTGTGCCCTGTCAGGCTAGCAGCGCTAGCTCCTTTAGGATTGATGAATTGCCTGCTTTCCCGATTAAACCTTCCGTCACTTCTTGATAAAAGCAAAAAAAATAAATAAATAAATAAATAGATAAATAAATAAAGCACAAAAAAGCCCAGCCTAGAGGAAGAGAGTCAACACGTCTGAGAGTCTATCATCGTCAGCCGTATTATGTGTGGATGTGAGGTGCCACTGCTTGACATTTATTACAAGAATATTAAAAACTAATTCACATTGATTTTTGCAACCTTCACTGACATGACAGTCTCATTGCAGTGCAAGGGCTTTTACGCTAACAACAGTCACTGCTTTGTTTGACTTTGTTTGCAATATCTTTAGAACTGGGTAGATTATTGTGATAGAACTTCAACGTATTATATATAGGAATAGTGAAGGATATGTCTCCTAATTAGTAAAAGAATCAATATGAAAATGTTCCATTTTCAACATCTGTGAAGTGATATATTTCAATAAATGTTTTATGATGGACTTTTTTCCCACTTCCCCACCCCAGACTTTGCTGTCCTGTAAAAATTTATCATCTGATGGCCTCATAAAATACATTTTGAAGTATCAAATCTTCAGGAGTATGCCCTGTTATTAAATATACACAGCATTTATAGCATAGCAGATAGCAGTGTGTTTGCGTACTTTTATCATACTTGCCATTCAAATTTTTCATCTCTGTGGAATGACACAGTCAGTTCGGTGTGCATTACAGTAATATAATGATAAACCTAATACAGAAGACATTCACATATCTATCGCATTAATCAAAAAAGAAAAAAAGGAAAAAAAAACCTTGACATCGCCTCTGATCTAACCTAATATGGAGCGCAATTATTTCCCAATCCATTAAAAGAAGTTCAATTATGAGACGGGAAGACAGTTCATTCTTAGAGGGAGAGAGAGAGAGAGCAAAAGAGGGGAAGAGAGAGAGATGCTAGGAGATGATCCAAAATTAACTTGGGTTTGCAAAATATCACGCTAGAATGGGTGACAATGATTTTTGATTTCCCGGAACCGATATTAGACTCCTTATTAAAGTATGTGCATCTGCTTTTAATTTGCTCTAAATAATTGGAAAATGCAACGGAGCTTTCCAATTAAGGCGCCACTTTACGTGCTTTAATAATACCCCCATAATATTAGAGCTTATGAAATGACAGGTGAGCTGGTGTATGAATAAAACATAAAGGCTCATAATAAGAGACAGAAAAAAAGGGAACGGAGACAGTTGTTGGGTGGGGGGGTGGGGTGGCTTTTAAAATGCTCGACACAATTTGCATATATTAATCTCTTCTTTTCAGCCTTATCGAACATTCCTGCGTGTTTGAAGTTAAAATAGTGATGACAGGCTGGGGTATGCTTCATTTTTCCCCGGATTTATTGCTCATATAATTCGGGATCTTTAATAAGCCAATATGACTGATCCTCAGAGTTCTGTGGAATTCCGTTAATTGTTCCAGATGGCGCTCACTGATTATGCAAAATGACTTCTCTTTCTCCCTCCTTTTTTTCCCCCCTCCTATCCCCAACCACACCATTTTTTGATTGACTAACACAGAGAAAAAAGATTATTTTTGGGCCAGCACTTTCATTAGGAAGCCTCTCATCAGGTTTCAAACAAAAGTTCCATCTTATCTCTTGGTGCAGAGTGTGCCATTACCGGCTCTGGCAGGCCTCCTTGGCAGTCGAGGAGGATCCCATAGGCTCTTAATCGTGACTCTAATCTTCCAGTGCCTTGTAGCCCAGCAGCTTTTCTCCAATGGTGTGGCCATATTTTACAATACCAAAACATTTTAGGCTGAAGGATTAGAGAACACACACGCTCAAGCTAGCGGCACAAAAACTCATCCACTAAGTATGGGTGCTCCATGGCTCGCTGGCTAGCCTTGAACAGCAGCTTGATTAAAAAACCCTGCAGCCAGCCTTCATTTTTCTCACACCCCCTCTACTTTGCTGAACGCCCATTGAAAGTTCACCTTGATTCTGTTTAGCATCAGCTAAATTGCCCTAAATGAATTGTGTATGGATATTTGATAGGTGGGGGGAAGATGTGGAGAGCAAATTTACAGCTGTGTTTTACTTTCGATGGGTACACGATTTAAGCCATGCAATTTCGGGGCAATAAAACTACTCTGAACGTCTGAAAGGGAGCCAAGGACTTCAGGCTGGCGACAGGGCATGAAAGACTGCATACAGCTTCTTTTCCAGCTATTAATGATTTATTCTCATGGCCAGCGTAGAGGGAGCCAGGACAGAATATAGAAGGGGTTGAAAAGTTGCTTTGGGTTACGTGAATTTCCACATTAGCAAATACTCATGAACCTGTGTCATTAGGTAACAGTGTATTTTCACTAAAAATTCTTATTTTAAAGACCTCCTCTTTACCTCCTCTCTTCCATATAAATGTTTGTTGACAGAGAATGATTTTTTTTTCACTCCTTAATTCCTCTTCAGTACGTTTTGTGTGTCTATATATTATGGCCTAAGGCCCGATTTTATTCTAACACCATGTTGGAAAATAAACACCACATCAAGTGAGTTGTCATGATATCTGACGCCTTCGTTGACATTTGCTTTTGCCCATGCCAAGACTTCAGAAATGTACTAATGGTCTTAGTAAATCTGTGCCTGACTTTCGAGGAGGCTAATAAACTGGAGCCTAAGACTAATGAGAGCCTTGTGCCTATGGGCCTAATCGCAGTCTGGAGCATCATTCCTCACCCGTCCATCTCCCGGCCCAGAAAAAGATCTGTTCCCCCATTAGTCTCCAGCCTATCAAACATGGCCGCCCTCAATGGATGGGCCTGTCTCAGCCTTCCCATTGCCCTCATGTTCAGCGGCCTTTGTTATCACACATCTAATTAGAACTTGATAAAAATATTTCCCTGAAATCCAGCCATTAAATATAGTTTAAGGAGATTTATGATCAAATATGCCCTTAAAGATCTTTTAATGGGTCCGCTGACTCGTTAAGTTGGTAATTAATGAGCTCCTAATATATAGTGTGATTTAACCTCACAATGAGATTCTGGGAAATGGAGCCATTTCAGATGAGGGGCAAGTGAGCTTCCCGAAGGCTGTTTCTAAAGAGTGCCTGCTTTTCTTTTCCAAAGTATGGGCTCTCACTGTTGTAACTGTATCAGCACTTTACTTTTTGAAACGATAGCCAGGTTCCTAAAGCCCATGGAACTGTGAAAAAGGTTCTTCTCTTACAACAACATTGTGCAATGTATTCGTCGTATGCCATAATTCATGAACATCCCTGATGCTTTGGTCCCACTTAAGGTAGCATGTAAATCTGTATATTTAAATATTAATCAAGTGTGAATAGATAGAAACACATAGAACACACACAGTAGCAATGGAAGTAATTTTAAATAAATTGCTGAAGCTAAGCACAAACAAGCAGTGGTTATTTAAAGAGGTTCTCTAGGGATATCATGCAAAGTGGGCTAACTTTTAAAGCTTATTGGAAGTATAGCAATTTGAGACTAACTCTGTGCAGTTGCCTAATCTAAGTTGCAACTCGCCCATGTCTGTATTTAAATTGCTATGTCTAGTTGATAAAACCTTAGTTGTGGGGGTCCTCACTGCCCCCTGTCACAGGCAGAGTGGCCAGATTTAGCAATGAGTGGCACATCTGAACTGCACGTCTATTGAGTCTGGTGTCAGGATGAGCGCAATGCCGCACTGATTAGCATAATTAATGAGGAATGGCAGCGAGGCATTGGTGGATTGGTTTTAGGGGATGATGAATGGACCGATGGCTGGGCTGGAGGCTGCCAACGAGGCATCTTTGGCTGTCATCCCTCCTGCCTCGGTCCTGGCATGCGTCATTACTCACCAGGCCGAAGTGTCGCTTTGCATCGGTGTGTTACACCCGACATCGAAAACTTAATAACACTCTACAGCCACTGAGCAGGTCCAGTGAGGGCCTGTCATGCTTAGTGTGCAGCGTGGCAGGTGGCCGTAAGTCATAGTTCAGGTTTAGCCGTGCCATGTTAGCGAAAGAACAATTCTGAGGATATATAGGTCATAGTTCAAAACGTGACCCTAATCATGTGACCCTGCCGCCACTTTCTCACTTCCAGTTGCCACTCTGTCTGCTGTGTGTGTTTGTTTGCACGTTCCACCCTCCTCTCTCGGCCCCATCGTGGCGAGTTAGCATGCCCACAGAACCGCTAATTAAGAGGGGATTTGGTGTAATTGTGCCTTCTGCTGCAGCCCATCCGGCACACGCAATTTAGCAGTGGCTCGGCTGCCAGCTCTGCAGCTCACGCACGCTCCGCCGAGGCCTAGCCCATTTATTCAGAGAAACTCAGGCCTCAGCACAGCAGCAACACACACAGCTGTAGCCCAGTTGGCCAGCATTTCACTGCTATCACTTTCCGCATGTATCCTAGCTGGTACTGATTACTTTAATGACTCTGGAAAAAACTAAAAATTATTAGTTATATGCTCGTCTTCCTTCAAACTTTAAATGCTCTACTGATTTATTTCAAATTCAGTATCCATCAGCTGATGAGGTCAACAGTATGTCTGTACCTTTTTACATGTGACAGTTAACTACTAGCAAATTTCTTTGGCGTTAACATGAACATTTACAATACTCAGTGCTTTATAAAATAGAACAAAACAGTCCAGTTAAAACAAGCCATGTCAGGTTTGTAAGACATTTAGCATAGAATACTAGATTCAAGAAGCACAAATTAATGAACTTTATTAATTTATATCACAATATCACTCTAGTGTCCGAATTCCTTTTTTAACTTGATTATTTTTCTTCTTGATTTCCTTTGGAGTTTCCTAAAGAGCACTTCATCATACCTTCTCATCTGGTATTGGTTTATTTATCACTGTTGTGTCCTGGCCCCTCGCATGGGGACAGGTTATGGGAGATGGGGATCACAGAGCTCTTGAGCATTCTCTCTCTACTCTGTGCTTGTGCGCTGCTTGCCAGAGCGCAGTAGGTGCTGTTGGCTCTTCCCTCTCTCTGGAAGACTGATGAAGCGGGGCCCAGTGGGTACTACGTGCTGGCGCCCAACCCACTACCAGATTTCAAGGGCCGCTTGTCACCCAGATGGAAAAATAACACCTCTTCTCTCACTAAATATTCTCTCATTTTCCTCCTCTTCTCTCTCCTCTCTCTCTTTCTCCCTCTCTCCCTCTCTCTTGCTTTCTTGCTTGGGAGTTTGTTCATTTTTGTCTTTAACTTCAATCATTTCTATGTTCATTTATGGTTAATGCATGTGTTGTAATGCTCAAACGGTAGACTGATACTTTATATATTCATGTTCTCTACACGAAGCTGTCCATGTGATCCAAGAGTTTTAGAGTATGAATGCAGTCTTAACTGCTCAGTGTTGATTACGAACCCTCAAATAAAAAATAAAAAGGGGGTTGTATAGGGGTTCTTCAATAGAGGCAAAATGCCCTGTACAGTTCAGAAAATTATTCTTTTCTGTGTTTTTAAGTATGCTGCAATTGCCTACCACTGATGACTGTTAGTTTTTATAGAATTCTTTATCACTTTTTTTATTATTAGAGATGACATGATAATCTCTGATACCAATACAGTCCAATATTTCGTCTTTAAAAACTTAGCTTTAAGTTTTAAATTAGTTATTCTAAATTAAAGCATTCCACTTAAGATGAAAGTATAAAAGTAGGCTATCATTCTCAAACTACACAAACCCTCTACTTTTCCTCAGGAAGGAATATACAGCTAACAACATCACACAATGTGAGTGTGTGGTATTTCAGGATAGATTTGTTTGGGGATTAAATCAGATTCTTTGTGTTTTTCTCTCTCAAATCTGATCCAGCATTTTTTGCAGATATTGGCTCATATCCCTCAATTCCAATATGCCATCTCTAATCATTATTATTATTATTAGTAGTAGTAATAATATTAGTAGTAGTACTAGTGTATAATATCCATCATGGAGGATGTGTTGTGTATTGTTACACAAGAAGTAATAGTGTTTTTTTTGTCCAAAAAAAATGCAAGTGCTTCAGAGAAATTCTGAAAACAGTCTGATGAATTTCCATTGGTTGAAGAATGAAGCATGAAAAAAGGAGAGATATGAAGAGTGGTGAGGACAGCAGCAGAGTCATTAAAAGAGAGCCAAAAATAGCAGCGAGCCATCATCTGTTCTCATAGCACGGGTCAGGAGCGCTGACACCTCCAAAACTCCTCCTGTCAGGGCAGGGGGCCATT